ATTAGGCTACAAATTATTTACTTCACTTCGTTGTAAACTTCCACTTTCCAGAAACAATGTGTCCATGGCGATTTGGTTGTAAAATATTAAAGATTACCGGATGATTATTGATATATTCCAGGCTATATCTCCTTATAAAGCGCGTGCGTATAAATAGATAGATTACCAAATGCCAAAGGTCTTGTTACAATTTTTAAAGCCAATATTTTCTTTCATATCTAGCCTATGTGCATTTATAGGATGTAGATATTTGTTTGATTGGTAAAATTTTGTTTAAATCCGAGATCATACATGCACGCGCTATATAATTTCAAGAAAATAAAACACATGCAATAACCGACAGCAAATAACCTGTATCTGACTATATTGAAAAAATAGCTAATGCCATGTGCACAACAATATAATGCTTTGACAATACATTGCTTTCGATCGATATTACCATATAAAATACATATACCTTTACATGCATAGATATATACTGTAGCCGTTATCCCTATAGTATAGAGGCATGATTGGACAGACTTTCTCGTGCAAGGAGTTAGTTATAGCTAGGGTTTAGTAAATGCAAGTAAAGTATATGCTATATACATAAAATATCTTTAAGGGCCATAAAGACACTTATTTGCCATGCAGACGTCAATTTAGTGCACGTTCATGGCACTTCGTAAAGGTCCGCCCTTGACCGCGAACTCATTTCGACGGAAATCCTTTATTATGAAACCACATCATGCAGGTAAACAATTTCAACGTCAGTGTGTTTTTTTAGACTTTTGTTGTCTCAATTCAGAATAAAAAGTTATTTCCTGAGAGCGAAAGACTTAAAAGTATAATTCTTAGTCACGCAAATTTGACTCTTATTTTGTCCCTGATCTTTGACATCCTGGACCGATAATGCAACCCGAAAAAGTGAATGGGTTGCCAGAAAACAAGGTGTAAAAAATACAATGTTCGATATAACCTATATATACCTACATGCAAGTATTGAGAAAAATAGCCAATACTAAGTTTAAAACAATACTGTTGCTTTGGCTGAACTTCTAAAATATAGGCCTATATAATATTTAGGCCTATTATGCATTAACATCCATGCACATATAGATACCGCATGTAGCTGTTATGCCCGTTAGCCGTACTGAAGTGTCCACAGACATTTTCACACATGGAATTTATCGCGTTAGTGAATTGTTTAGCTTCATACCATAGAAATAGAAATACACATAAAAATGTACGAATATATGTAAAAGAAAAAAGTCTGTTTGTCAGATCCTTGACTGCAGCTAAAAGATAATTTCCGTTGTCGTTAAAGCGGAATCTTTTGTTTTAAATTTATAGATAGAACAATATTTAGCAATTTTTTTGTAAAAGGTTATAGATTACCGGTGCTGAATGATCTGATTACAATTTTTAAAGCCATTTTTTTCACATATATGTGCATGATTCGTATAGCTTAAAGCCCTTTTACACGTGCGATCTTTGATGCAATTTACGTGCGACTTAATAAATAATTCGTGTCTTATAATAGTAAAAATATTATTTTGGTTTGTCTCGTTGCATGAATGAAACATTCCATTTTTCACCTCATAAAATAAGATATTATTACTATATTGCACTTATAAACACATTCTTTGTTAAAGTATAAGCTGTTAGCTGTATGCTGCGCTGTTTATATACATTGATATAAATTCCGTCAACACACAAACTTATACATACATATAGGTGTGCCCTATATTTTCCTTCGTAAACTTAGATTTTAACTTCCTTGATTATAAAATTACCCTTCGCTTTAAAGAAGTATTGAGAATTGAAATAATTCAGAAATTATATGATATATACAATAACAATTAAGAAAGGTTGTTTGTCAGACCCTTGACTGCATGATGCACCAGAAGGCTTAATTATTGCTATATATTAGCCTATTTCCTGAAGTTATTGAAATAATTTTCAAAGCCATTGCCATTGTTTTTTTCCACATATAGCCTAGGTGCATTTAGGATGCAGATATGCATGATTATTTCGTTATATTCATTAAAATTGAATTTTTAACACACAAGTAAACGTTAATGCATGCTATAATCAAAAATGAATTATTGAATTGAGTTTAGTCGACTAAAGATCGATCGCTTTACATCAACAGTTTAGCGTGAAACACAGTGTAGCGACGACGTTATTTTATGATTTAAATAATTGATTAATGAATTTTTTGCTCTGCTCTCTTTATTTACTGTAGCAGTTATGAAATATTATATAAGGAATCAAAATATTCCGAAATCATAAGGTATAGCTGCTATTATATATAGTAATTTATTAGCAAAAACGTGTGTTTGTCAGATCCTTGACTGATGCCGGAAGATTATTGATATATATTAGGCTACAAATTATTTACTTCACTTCGTTGTAAACTTCCACTTTCCAGAAACAATGTGTCCATGGCGATTTGGTTGTAAAATATTAAAGATTACCAGATGATTATTGATATATTCCAGGCTATATCTCCTTATAAAGCGCGTGCGTATAAATAGATAGATTACCAAATGCCAAAGGTCTTGTTACAATTTTTAAAGCCAATATTTTCTTTCATATCTAGCCTATGTGGATTTATAGGATGTAGATATTTGTTTGATTGGTAAAATTTTGTTTAAATCCGAGATCATACATGCATGCGCTATATAATTTCAAGAAAATAAAACACATGCAATAACCGACAGCAAATAACCTGTATCTGACTATATTGAAAAAATAGCTAATGCCATGTGCACAACAATATAATGCTTTGACAATACATTGCTTTCGATCGATATTACCATATAAAATACATATACCTTTACATGCATAGATATATACTGTAGCCGTTATCCCTAGTATAGAGGCATGATTGGACAGACTTTCTCGTGCAAGGAGTTAGTTATAGCTAGGGTTTAGTAAATGCAAGTAAAGTATATGCTATATACATAAAATATCTTTAAGGGCCATAAAGACACTTATTTGCCATGCAGACGTCAATTTAGTGCACGTTCATGGCACTTCGTAAAGGTCCGCCCTTGACCGCGAACTCATTTCGACGGAAATCCTTTATTATGAAACCATGCACATCATGCAGGTAAACAATTTCAACGTCAGTGTGTTTTTTTAGACTTTTGTTGTCTCAATTCAGAATAAAAAGTTATTTCCTGAGAGCGAAAGACTTAAAAGTATAATTCTTAGTCACGCAAATTTGACTCTTATTTTGTCCCTGATCTTTAACATCCTGGACCGATAATGCAGCAACCCGAAAAACTGAATGGATTGCCAGAGAACAAGGTGTAAAACTACAATGTTCGATATAACCTATATATACCTACAAGTATTCAGAAAAATAGCCAATACTAAGTATAAAACAATACGTTGCTTTGGCTGAACTTCTTAAAAAAATATACCTTTAAAATATACCATTCATTAATATCCATGCATATAGGCTATAGATACTGCATGTATAGCTGTTACACCCGTTAACCGTAAGGTGTGGACAGACATTTTAACGCATGGAAGAAATCACTGTAGTGAATGCATGGTTTAACCTCATACCATACAAATAGAGATAAACATAAAAATGTACGAATATATGTAAACGAAAAAAGTCTATTTGTCAGATCCTTGACTGTTGCCAAAAGATAATTTCAGTCATCATGAAAGCGGAATCTTTTGTTTTAAATTTACAGATATAGAACAATATATATAGCAATTTCCTTGTAAAAGGTTATAGATAACCAGTGCTGAAAGATCTGGCTACATGCAATTTTTAAAGCCATAGTTTTTTTTACATATATGCATATATGTCAAGTCATACAAGTCTGTTTGTCAGACCTTGACTGCAGCTAAAAGATAATTTCCGTTATCGTGAAAGCGGAATCTTTTGTTTTAAATTTATAGATAGAACAATATTTAGCAATTTTTTTTATAAGGTTATAGATTACCGGTGCTGAATGATCTGATTAAAATTTTTAAAGCTATATTTTTTTTCACATATATGTGCATGATTCGTATAGCTTAAAGCCCTTTTACACGTGCGATCTTTGATGCAATTTTATGTGCGACTTAATAAATAATTCGTTTTCATTCGTGTCATATAATAGTAAAAATATTATTTTCGTTTGTCTCTCGTTGAATGGAACATTCCATCTTTCACCTCATAAAACAATAAATTTTTACTATATTGCACTCATAAACACATTCTTTGTTAGCATAAGCTGTTATCTGTAAGTTGCGCTGTTTAATTAAATACATTGATATAAATTGCGTCAACACACAGACTTATACATACATAAAGGTTTTCTCTATTTTCTTTCGTAAACTTTGATTTTAACTTGCTTTATTAAAATTACCCTTCGCTTTAAAGAAGCATTAAGAATTGAAATAATTCAGAAATTGACCCTTGACTCATGCACCAGAAGGCTTAATTATTGGTATATTAGCCTATTTCCTGAAGTTATTTAAATAATTTTCAAAGCCATTGCCATTGTTTGTTTCCACATACGTATAGCCTATGTGCACTTAGGATGCAGATACGCATGATTATTTCGTTATATTCATTAAAATTTCCATGATTGAATTTTTAACAGACAAGTGAACGTTAATGCATGCTATAATCAAATAATGAATTGACTATAGTTTAGTCGACTAAAGATCGTTAAGGGAGGGATCTAGAATAACACTTTTCATTCCGTGTGCATTGCATGTGCAAAGCTACAGACAAGCCGGTATCAGTTTATATAAACAATATATATTACATGCACTTCCTATCACGTCTGCGAAGGAAATGACATGCAAATAGAATCAAGTGCCTGTGTGATGTGTATAAATACTAGCTTAGAACCATTCCAAATCGCATAATAGTACATGAGTAAAGTTGCTATAAGAACAAACTGTAAGTGTAAAAGTCATAACAAGACTTCGGTAGAGAAAACTGTCTTGGTTCGACGATCATTGCAAATTGTGCTGCAAACTGTATGCATACCATTAAAAAAATGTTTTTTTCAATTTTCATTGTCATCGCCCTTAGCTTAAATAGTCTTGGTCGAGCTGCTGATAATCCGCTCTCCCCGGAGCAATACCGTGATATCATTAAACAAGGCTTTTCAACGAACTGGTTCAAGTCTTGTGACCCGCTGTCGAAGTACAACGACACAAATATCGATGATATTTTCAACAAAGGATTTCGAAATCTACGACTTCGGGCAAGGGCAGACCTAATTTACGGAATCGGTCCGAAACCGTGTAATAGCATGGAGTCGTTTCTACAGAATTTAACAACTGTGGTCGATAAGTGTCTCGATGTCGGGATCGTACCTATTATATCGTGGATCCACCATGCAGACGAGATAAACGCAACAGAAAAAGCGCGAGAAAATTATGTATGGTGGTGGACTGAAGTGGCAACTCAACTGAGGGAAAAAGATTATCGTCTCAGTTTCAATCTATTTACTGAGCTGGGTATCGATGCGTCATGTGGTGCTTGTGAAGAAAGTCTTCGACGAGACAACGACAAGTACAATAATTGGACACGGGACGTAATTGCTGCAATTCGAAAAACTGGAGGTAAAAATACAGAACGTATACTGATCTTAGGATCGCCAGGAAAGACCGCCAAAGACCTGCACATTATTGACAAAAACATCTTTAACAACGATGACTACCTGATGGTAGAATGGCACCTATACGCCTCGGGACCCAACAAAAATAGTCAAGGGAGCAAAAAATACTGGAAAGATAATGGCAAAGTGTCAGGCCGGCAAAATGTCAGGATAGCCATAGAATACGCTACTAATTTTACCAAAAATACAAATGTTTCAACCTACCTGGGGGCGTGGATGCCAGCTGACAACGAAGGCGGTTCGTTGAGCGAATACGAAGTTGTACAGTTTGGTAAATATTTTGCTAAGCAATTGAAAAAAGAAAAAATCCCTTGGTCGCTAAACGTCCTTGATGTATATTACAACACGAAGGAAAGTGAATGGATTCAAGGAAAGCAAAATATATCAGGTGCAATGATCGACATGGCTAAAGTTTTGAACGCTATAGCTAAAGTTATGTAAAGCAATACGTTGCTAACTGTGGCAGAAACCTGTAAATGCCTTATCACATTGATACTGTAATCTGTTAGCCTTTAATAACTATTCCACCCAAGGACATATAGTAGGTTTGGTCATACAAATAATTGTAGCTGTAAATTGGAAATTTTTGATTAAAGTTTTTCATAGGGTTAACTAACAGCTCTTGTTAGGGTTTGTTATCTACATGCAATATACACGTAATGGCCTTTTTAAGGAGTCGTTACCGGGGGGAGGGCATAAACAAAAATAGGGGTTTTGTAGAATGATCTGGTGGACCACCCCCAGAAAATTTCTGTATTTCAGAGTCTCTAAGTTGTTCCAGCATTTGGGCGAATACTTACTGTCGGAATCCATCTCGGCGGAATTAGCTTTGTTGAAAGAAGGTTATTATTTTCTTCGGATCAACATGCTTATTTTGTGAATATTTATACAATAACGGCATTCACGCGGGGCAAAAAGCGATATACGTGGTGTTCATACAATTTCTTAAAATTCTTAAAAGCCATATTGTAACAACTTCTTGTCTAGATATTGCACAAGTAGTAAATATATTCCAGACTTGCAGTTTCTGAGATGTTTCTGAAATAGAACTATGCATCCAAAATTTTTGAATTCAGATAGATGCCTACGAATCACATAAAAAAGAGCTCTCCAATTAAAATTAAATATTACGACAAAGACAGTTAAGACACGATAAATCGATAGTGTAATTCACAACTTTCGGATTACGAAGATTTAAAGGAGGGCAATCTGAAGGGGGCAGCAAGAAGATAAATTTCAAATACGCTTGAAGCCGGCTCGAAAGACGTATAGCATAAGCTTAATAGGGGGGGGGGAGGGGGTTGAATATTTATATATTCGCCTTATGCCGGACTCTTTTCTGTTAGGTGCTGCTGCAGAATGAAGTTATCTCGCATTGCAATCTGCTGTAGCATTTGAATGACTACCTTGTGTTATATTTTGCAAGTTTTATTGATCATAACTTGATCCTCACATTTTCCTTCCATCTTCTCTCTTGTTTCCTAGCAACCTCCCTTTTCCTATAGCAGCTAGCCTCCCTTTTTATCTATTCCTAAATCGCCATAAATGCTCCCAAATTGCCTTGACATTACACTTTGTTGCGTATATAGGCTTTGTTAATTGTATCACATTTACCGAATTCATTATGATCAAAAACAAATTTGTACAGCTTCCAACTAAATGTTGTCAATATTGCAGTGAAATGAGGTATAACTAGATAGTGATATTAAAACACAATATATACAACAATACATATGTTGAAGAATTATCATAATTAATCCCCGAGCCGGTGCGGAGCACCGTGCGAGGGTACTAATTCCGCCCGGAGATTAGGAATTACACCCGGGACCCGGGAGAACATAGCGGAATCAGTGAGCTGAATCCAAAGTTGCCCAAATGTCATGGACGTTCAATGGTCATGGTACTTGTGCGCATGCGCGAAATGCGAACGAGTGTAGACTGGTAATCAGTAACTTCCTGATTGGCTAAGACGAAACGTTTGTGTTTCAGTGAAAAACGTCAGCAATTTAACTGTCATTTTGCAAACTATTTTTTAAAAAATGTTTCGAAAACAAAATATGAAATGTGGAATCAAAAAACAGATAAAACACTGGGAAGAGTTTAAAATATTATCAGAACTGGAGGAATTAGCAGTGAAAAGGAACAACTCGATTATAATCCTTGAAATGGTAGGAGTCTATTTTGTTTATTTCGAGGTTTATTTCGTGTTTGCTGTACGAATACATTTTATGACCTTGGTACAGTATGTCGTTTTGCTCGGTTTTGCTAAGACGTGACCGACTATTTAAGGCTTTACATCATCGTTTTAACTTCCAAAAGAGTCCTTAAAAGTGTAATTGGGAGTTTTAATATAACAAATATCACTTTAAAGGTTTATATATAGTCGACTGCAATCACTGCACGAATTTAATAATCGAAAAACAACATTCGACGTTCACTGCTTGGTTATTTATATTATTTGGGCTGTTTTGATGCTTTGAAGGTTAAGCTATAATGAAGTATTAACTCTCACTTAAACTGTGAAAGTCTATAACTTAATGCAACGGAAAGCAGCAGTCACTTCACCTTTACGACTGTGTTTGTTTCCGAAATATTTGAAACATCAGCTATCGGCTTTACATTTAGGACATTTCATAATATTGAAGGTTAGGTCTGGCTAGCTCAGGAAATATTTTGCTTCGTTTGAAATGGCGAGGGGTTGCTGCACGCATGTATTTCTAGTAATAAATTTATAAACCAGGGAGGTTCAAAGACTTTTCGAAAAAGTATGTTCATTTGGGGGATCTACAATACCTTATACATAGCAATACACAAGTAGTGTTTTGAGGGTAAAAATATTTATATATCTCCATATTATACAATATTTACTGGTTTGAGGGAAGTTCAGCAAGTTCTTATGGCATCTCATTGGTTTTTCACAATTGTGCAACATGGTTTTCCTCATTTTTTACGGGGAGGTGTGGTTTGAAGTTGCTGAAGGAAATTATATGTCTCAATCTGACAATGTCATTTGGCCAGGCCGCAGATTATGGCAATAGCGCACCCAAGATATTTTTTGCAATAGCAATTGCGTACTTGGCCAGGAACACCCTTCCTACAAAATTTTTGCATGCCAGCTGCACCCAGGAATACCCAGTAAGTTTAGACAGATACCTGCATTTTGAAATAGATTGCTTTATTCAATTTTTGACATTGAGGTTTATTATACATTCATACTGTATGCTCGTTTCTGATTGGTCGAAACTCTCAAAATAAATCTCAATATCCGGTATGTTACGTCATACCAAGGGATGTTGGTTTTTTTGGATCGAAGTTCGATACGTCACTACCGGAAGTACGCAGCACTGCGGCGGCAAAAGCTCGAGAAATTAGGAATTCAGAGTAAGAGAATTGCAAAAACAAATTATAATCATTTCGCTTAAATCAGTGCCCTCTGTGGTTTTATTATAAAAATGTACTTTGTATAATAAAACAATTGTATAATATACCTGGTTCTCAATTCCATTGTACACATTATGTGTTGTATTATGCACATTATGCACTTTTTAATTCTTATGTAGTTTAATTGCACACCCGCACTTCAGGTGCAGCTTTTTTGAGTACAGATGTCTAGTGAAAACTGCCATGATACTCTGTAGTCTGGTCATTTGGCAGCACACTTTCACAACCCGTACGGTTAGTCTACAGATCAAATTATTATTTCTTGAAAAAAAAATATATACAGGAACTGTCTAATGCATATTGATTCATTTCTTGTGTGTTCTATTGTAGCATCGCGCACGATATGCAAAATACAGCGAAAAAAAAAGCATGTAAACAAACAACACAGTGTTCTTATAATAACTTGTAGGTACACCACGTAAGTATTAAATACTGCAAAGCTTTCGGTCCGTTAACCCGGACCTTCATCAGTGCAATTACTTGAATACACGTTTGCGCGTCACTTAAATATCATGTTAGTCGTGATTAGTTTGCTCGCGCTATTAATTAAACGGTTTCATTTAATTAAGTTCTAATTAATGCGCGCGCCCTAGACAAGTATTTGACTAAGAGACACCGAAAAGAGCACGCCACGTACTATTAAGTGGCTTTCCCTCTTGGACGATAGTTTGATGTTTATAAATTTCAATAGATTCTCTCATTTTACGAGAGACAGTAAACTTATCGTTTGCTAAAATGGTAGCATCGTTCCATTTAATGCGATGATCATAAGTCCACGCATGGTGAGCTACTGCAGACTTATCCAGTTTACCTTTCTCGCAGTTCGTCTTATGTTCTTTAAGACGTATTGAGAGATTTCTACCGGTTTCTCCAATGTAAACCAAACCACATTCACATGGAATGCGGTACACACCAGGTTTCTGTTGTTCATCGACGCCATCCTTGTGTGTGTAAAGAAATTTATAAACATCAAACTATCGTCCAAGAGGGAAAGCCACTTAATAGTACGTGGCGTGCTCTTTTCGGTGTCTCTTAGTCAAATACTTGTCTAGGGCGCGCGCATTAATTAGAACTTAATTAAATGAAACCGTTTAATTAATAGCGCGAGCAAACTAATCACGACTAACATGATATTTAAGTGACGCGCAAACGTGTATTCAAGTAATTGCACTGATGAAGGTCCGGGTTAACGGACCGAAAGCTTCCATGCAGAGACGTCGGAAGCACAGGGGCAGGGGGGTCGGGTCCACGTCTCCCCCCAATAATAAAGTACTTAAAAAGAAAATGTTTTGAAATTCAAGCTAAATATAAACGACGTTCAATTCAATTCTAGTGCATGCAAATTATATTCCGCTGAATGGAAAGCATATAGGCATTGCTGACACTATTCTAGATTCGCATGGTCACGACATCAATATTAGCTACGAAGCATGATTTCTTTAACATGATCTACCAAAAAAAAAATTCTGAGTATAGAGAAGCCCAAAACAAGTTAAACTGATGTCGTGACCATGTCAATCGGGTATACGGTACAGGGTACCGGAAACTATTGAAACCACCTATTGTTAAAATTTGAATTTTTGTCTGTAGCGATTCAGAGATAACGCAACTTGTGAAGAACCGAATTTTGCACTGAATACAAAAATCTGCTATAGAAGCAGAGAGTCGTAAGACGCACCCCGATTAATAAGAATGGGTTGATGAAAGAATAAAAATAAAAAGAAAATATTGAATTATTTAGTTTACCTAAACTGTCTGGAGACGTCTTATTAATTTCAAAATCAATTAAATTTTCACTTGAGCATTTATTTGTGCCTTTTTCATCCAGAGTTTCTCTGTTTTTCATCTCGTAACACCAGTATCGCCGGTCCATTACGGAAAACAAAACAAAACTAATGCCCGAGCCGGTGCGGAGCACCGTGCGAGGGTACTAATTCCGCTCGGATATTTACACCCGCGATGTGCAAAGGCGAAATCAAAGTCGTCCGCAATGCAATGAACCTCACGCCAGGGATGGTCCTCTATGTTATGCGCATGCGCTATATAGTGTGAACTGCTAAGCTCTTAATTGGTCGCGACAAAAATTTGCATTTTCAAACGTGTATAACTGACTGCATAACTATCATTTAGGAGAATTTTGATGGAATTTACATTTTCATA